ATGTGGTGTTGTCAGAGGAAAGGAGGGAGAAGAGTGACAGCAGAGAGAATGGAGTGTGGGCCCAGGGCCCACAGTGAGGACACTGCAGTTCCTCGTGGCTGGAGGGATACATGGGGTAGGGATGAGTGATGTTCCTGGAAAGGAGGAACCTCAGGGCCCCTGAGGGTCTGGGGCAATGGGGAATCACTGTGGATGTCACGCAGGGGAACAACTTGATCACATCTGCAACTTACAGAGGTGAGTGGGATGGAATGGAAACTGGCTTGGAAGATGGCATCAGCAAGGCCTGGTAGGAGTACAGTTCTCCTAACATCATTCAGCAATTCTGTGTCTAGGAATTTAGTGTACGTATTTACTTGTATTGTATAAAAGGATGTGTTTCCAAGTTATTCTCTGAAGCTATGTTTGTAATAGCAAATATTGGAACCAGCCTAATGTCCAATAATATAAGCCAAGGATATTAAATCATGACTGTACTTACCAGTGCTGGTTCTGTAGGAATCTGAGAAGGGGCTAGAATTCCTAAGAGCAAGATGTAGATGGATGTTTAATAGTCATCAGCTTAGGGGTGAAGGTTGAAGTGAGATAGAATCAGTCCATGTTAAGACAAGAGTAAGTTCTGGTGGTTGCTCCTCAAGGGCCAAATTTTATTCAGTTTTGTATGCTCAGAATCAAGCACAAATCAACTATTTGATAACCTGGGCCTGGGGTTGTGGTTCAGTGGTGGAGTGCTTGCATGAAGTCCTGGGTTCCATCCCTAGCACCACAAAACAAACACAAAAACATTTGATTCTGGGCTGGCTCTGCCTAGTTCACTGGAGGGCACATTCCTCAGTCCACCACCCCAACTTCTAACTTGTTCCTGCTCTGGACTTGGGTGGGCATCCTAAAAAGGGAAAGAAAGCGGGGAAAAAATGAATTTGATAAACTGATTTATATATAGGAAAGGGCTGGAGGAACCATGGAGGGAAACCCAGGAAAGGTGGTTAAGAGAAAAGCCAAGACAATGTACTGGCATGGAAGCCTGAGAGACAGCCCGAGTCTTCGAGCAGGGCACAGTCCAATAACAGAATACTCCTGGATCGGGACGACAGTGCTTCCACAGAGTTTCTTGTGATGTCCGAAAGGAAACCTCAGTTTTCTCATCGGAAAACGGAAGGGCTTGGGTTTCAGGACTCACAGCTCCTTCCAGCTTGACCACTCACACCCGGCTAGCCCTTTCCGCGTCGTCGTCTAGGAGACGAGCATCACTTCCGGCAGAACTTTCACTTCCTGCGGGGCTCCGCCCCTTTCTCGTGAGCGGGCGCTGATTGGTCCGTTTGAAATGCGCCGGGCGGGAGCTCACCTGGGCTTGCAGCGGCGCCGCCGGGCTTTCAGGAGCGCAGCGCCTGAGAGGCGAAGTACAGCTCCCCGCGGCGTGGCCCTGCGCCCCGCAGTCTTCGTCCCCCGGTCAGATAGAGCCTGGTGTCCCGCGTACGCATTTGGGCAGCACGAAACCTGCTGCCATGAAGCCAGCGTGAGTACGGGACCCGAGAGAGCTCTCGGCGGAGGGGGCCTCGGGCCGCGGGGTGGGGACTCCCTTGGCTTCTTTCCTGCATCCAGCCCGGCGTCCTGCCGCGGCCTCTACGTGGGAGTCTCCGCGTTGGGCCGCTCTGGCGGGCCCGGGCTCTGAGACCCGACTTCCGTCGGCGCCCGGTGTCCACCTCCACCCTTGGCAACCCGCTGCTGGGGAAGGTCGGCCCGAAGTTTGGGATTTCTGTCGACACCCTGTCTCCTGCTGACAGGGTTGTCATCCTCTGGGCCCCCGGCACCGTCCCCCACGCCATGCCTTCTTAGGGATCCCTTCTTCCTCCCTGGCTATCCCCGCTCCCACAGTGCACTTTGTGGCGTTAGTGCTGTCTGGGGTCGTCGAGCGTGTGCAGCCGAGTGTGGTGTGCTGGCGCTTGTGGGTCAGGTGGTTTCAGTCCCGGACTGCTCTGACATCCTTGAGCATTGCTTGCTTTCCTTAGCCCTGTGAGGTGGCCCTAAGGTCAAGCCCTTCACTTCTCACAGTACAGTTACTTCTCCTTATCTTTGTCCGCAGGCAACCCCGCCCCCATCCACAAACGCCCAAGCCCACATTCCTTACAAGTCCGTGACCTATTTTAAGCTTAGCATCATTCCTGGTTAAGGAAGTACTTTTCGTAAGAAGAGCGCTGACTTTTCAAGCGCTTACCATTTCGCTAGTTGTCCGCAAAAGGCAGCTTGTTTTAAAAAGAAGCCTAAGTCAAAATCTTTTTTTAAAATTTATATATGACAGCAGATTGCATTACAATTCTTATTACACATATAGAGCTGGATTTTTCATATCTCTGTTTGTATACACAGTATATTCACACCAATTCGTGTCTTCATACCTACACTTTGGATAATAATGATCATCACATTCCACCGTCATTAATAACCCCAGGTCCCCTCCCCTTCAACCCCTCTGCCCTATCTAGAGTTCCTCTATTACTCCCATGCTCCTGCTCTCTATTCCACTATGAGTCAGCCTCCTTATTTCAAAGAAAACATTTGACATTTGTTTTTTGGGGATTGGCTAACTTAGCATTATCTTCTCTAACTTCGTCCATTTACCTGCAAATGCCATAATTTTAATTCTCTTTTATTGCTGAGTAATATTCCATTATGTATATTTGCCACATTTTTTTTTTATCCATTCATTTACTGAAAGGCATCCAGGTTGGTTCCACAGTTTAGCTATTGAGATTTATGCTGCTATAAACATCGATGTGTCCCTGTAGTATGCTGTCCTTTGGGTATAGACCAAGGAGAGGGATAGCTGGGTCAAATGGTGGTTCCATTACCAATTTTCTAAGAAATCTCCATACTGCTTTCCATATTGGCTGCACCAATTTGCAGTCCCACCAGCAGTGTATGAGTGTACCTTTTTCCCCACATCCTCGCCAAAACTTAGTGTTTTTGTCTTCATAATAGCTGCCATTCTGACTGGAGTAGACGAAATCTTAGAGTGGTTTTGATTTGCATTTCTGTAATTGCTAGTGATGATGAACATTTTTTCATGTATTTGTTGACTGACTGTACATCATCTTCTAAAAAGTGTCTTTTCAGGGGTCCTTGGCCCATTTATTGATTGGGTTATTTATTTTTTTGTGCTTAGCTTTTTGAGTTCTTTATATACCCTAGTGATTAGTGCTCTATCTGATGTGTGAGGTTTGCTCCCAAGATGTAGGCTATCTATTCACTTCACAGATTGTTTCTTTTGCTGAGAAGAAATTTTTTAGTTTGAGTCCATCCATTTATTGATTCTTGATTTTAACCAAGTCAAAATCTTTATATTAAAAAAAAGACATGTTAGTACATAAACCTGACACAGTATTATGCATTTAGAACTCTAATGTGTTTCTGTTTCATCTGAGATGTTTTGAGAAAAATATTTACTATATTTAATGTACAGTCAAGGCCAATATTTCACTGTTAAGCATTTTTCTAGTTTCTAGATAAACATGAAGGTAAAAATGTGATACGATAGGGAAATAAATCACATTATCTTTTTCTAATGAGAAAGACATTGAGAACAAGACATTGTCAGTTTGGGACTACATTTTGTTTTCAGATTGAGGGTAATAATTTTGAGCATTTTGTTCCTTGAAAGCAGTATTGATAAAAATATTGATGAAAAAATGGATTCTTATGCCTGTATTTTTATTATTTATCAACTTATTTTAGTAGATTGTCAATCTGCCTTGATAATGATTGTTGACACTGTGTGTGCTTGTGCACACATATAAATATCCTTAAAGATAAGTGTGGTCAGTAATTTGTAGATGTTTCAAATTTGTAGTGCCTTTGTAAAATTGTTGGTCAAGAAAATCTACAAGTTATTTAAAATATAGAATAAAAAAAAGGAAAATTAAGAACAAAAAACGGGTCCGAAACAAAATTTAAATGCCTTTAAGGTATGTATGCTACAAATACTCTTCTACTAGAGCAATTTATGATGATTATTAATGTTATTTGGGTTGTAGTATATTGGCACTGTAAGGAATAAATAAGCTGAAGGAAGTTTGTCTCTGTATGAATTATATGTGAAGGTTTTGTTTGTTTTTTTATTGCTTTTTTATGTTGAACTGAAATGTTTTTTATTTGTGACCAGGAGAGCTAAGACACCTAGGAAACCTCTGGTGAAAAAAGGATCCCAAACAAACTTTAAAGATCCAGTTGGGGTAAGGTCTTTCTGTAGATTTGTTTGTGTTAATTCAGTTCTTTTCTGTTTTATATATTTATATATATATGTTTGGAAAACAAGGAAGAAGAGATATGGCAGTGAAGTCAAAGAACAGATAGTCTTTAGCATGCTACTTTCTGCTCAGAAACATATCCTCCCCCACCAGCCTGCAGTAATTGATGCCACACTTTCCAAGGAGAGCCCCAGATTCCAAGTTTCATAAAGGCTTTTGTAAAAAATAGCTTAATGCCTCCTCATAATTGCAAGTACTTCACTAATTTCAAGTTTAGGAACTTGCTTTTAAAATGCAACAGCAAATAAAAGAGGGTTGGTTTGCTCTGAGGCATGTTAAAATCCCCCCTCCCTGCCACTGGAGTGGGTCTCTAGGTCTGAGCCAGAGGCACCAGGTGCTTTACACACAGATTTTCTTCAAATACCTTCTCTCCCTCCCCACCCTGCTCCTTTTTTCTTTTTTTAACTGTTTGTTAATTGTTAGATTAATTTGGCAGAGTTTTAATTGACACCCTATTCTGAAGAATTCTAAAAGCTTTTACTTGTCTACTTGCCATTTAGTTATTTGTTGTT